GTGTTGCATATTATTGAGTTTGTAGGTTAGTAAGTTAAACATGGTTTGTATGTGATCGCATCCCTATACACACACACACACATACATACACAAACACACACTGAGTTTTGAGGACAATCCAGTTTCTGGGTACTCCACCATTCCTATGATCTACCACATAACATACTAAATAGGTTCTATATCATAACAATACTAACGACTAAACCAAGCAATAACATTTAATCATCATATATCAAGGCATAGCATTTAAATGTCATATTCCGTGCAATTCCATGCAAAATATACATATATAGGATGGCCGGGGTTGATTCTAGGGGTGCAAATGAGCCGAGCCGCTCGTGAACCACTCGTGAGCTGCTCAGTCAAAGCTCGAATCGAGTTCGGTCAAACTCGAGCTCGAGCCGGCTCGTTAAGCAGTCGAGCCATAAACGAGCCCACTACTATTATATATAATATTAATATAAATTAATACATAATATATATTAGTATATATAATATATATAATATAAATTAATATATATATATATATATATATATATATATATATATAATACCGATTGGTAAATGTATATGAGGATCAGGGAGATATTATATTTTTCATTCCCGTAACCCTAGTTTCATCAGTTAAATCATCATGGTTTGATCATTTTTTATTATATTTTGGGCATGTAAATTTCAATTTGTAAATAGTAAGCACAAATATTCAAAGATTGTTTCATACTTGAGCTCGAGTTTGAACCCGAACTTTCGAGCTAATCGAGCTTGTAACATTTTGAGTTGAAGAACCAAACCGGGCCCCGACACGTGTTTTTGGCAAAAACGGGTATCGGAACCCATAGGTAACCGACACCGGTTCACGTACTGACGGGACCAGCGCCGGCCACACAGTGACCGAACCGGCGTCGGTTCAGGTCCTTGGCTGGCGCCAGTCCACCCGCTACCCCGGGCCAACGACCCGTTGACCCCCAAAACGTACTCCGTTTGCTCTGAAACTTATACACAATATGTATTAAGTCTTAAATAATCAATAAATGCCATTTTGGCCATTCAAAACCTCACATATGTTTTTATATGCATTTTTATTTTATTACATGCACAATATACCATATTAGTTCACATAAGCCTAATCACCTTGGCTAATCACGTGTTTAAAATCTTTTAAACATCATTATGAATACATATAGCATTTCTTTAGGTAATCTCGTACTTAACACAAGAGTTATAAGACATTAAGCCGTCCACTCACCTCTAATGAACTTTAATATGTTCTACCCTTCTCGGTTGAACTCCGACGAACTTTGTTGAACTTCAGCGATAACTCCGGAAACTCTTTCAACTCCGTGAAAGCACTAGGAACACCTTAGGAAAGTTCCTAACAAGGTTTCATAATCAAAAAATCCATATCAACAGAAATAACCTCTAAAAGGTTATTTTCCAGCGAACCGGTCCCTTTGGCTTCTAAGTCCGTTATTGGTCTTAGAACTACCTTCCAACCCCTCATCCTACACTTCTAAACATGTAGAACAATCCTAGGTGTTCCTCATATGATATGTAAGTCATATGATAGATAAAGAGTAGAGAACAAGTTGTTATAAGGTCATTACCTTAATCCTTTACACTTTTCCTCCTCATTTGACCTCCTTGATCTTGAGCTCGAATTTGGCTATGGTGACAAGTTTTTGCAGGGATTCCTTCTCTCTTTCTTGGTGTCTTGGATGAGCTAGACGATTGGGGGTAGGAGGGGATGACTCTTTTCGTCTCTTGGCAAATGAGTGAGGTAGAGAGGCCCCCCTCATTGTACTTTTGATGCTCATCACCTCACTCCACCTTCCTTCCATGTCAAGCCAACCCTCCCTAATCAATTTGAGCACACAAAAACGTGGGGTGGCCCCCACTTGTGTGGGAGGTCATCACTTTGTGTCCTGATGTGTACATTCGGTCCTGAAAGTTGTATTTCTCGAAGTGTTTTAATTATATTTTATTTTATCGGGCCTAATAAAATATATCATGTTCAATATCGGTCCCAAAAGTTGTATTACTTTGGGACTTTTAAATGAATATAAATTTCCCAAATTTAATTTAGAAGTCACCTGAATTTATTACGGGCCGTTATCTGACAAATTACCAATATCGGTAATTGGGCCTCGTTTGACCAACTGGTCAACTCTATGTCATTCCTATGGCCCAACACGAATATACACCATCATATAAATATTATCTAGACCAAGATGAATATAATATGTGGTCCTAGTAGTATCGGTGGTCGCCGTTCCCGGTGTGGGCCCCACATACATTTTACTATTTACACAAAAGTAATAACAAAAATTTACAAACTCGTAAATTCATTAATCATTTCTCAAGGTTCAATACATAATTTACCCTAAAGTAAATATACTTGGGGACGATACTACAAAATTATTGTTTCTCACTTCTTAAAAGATGAGGCCTGCTCATCGTTGCCCTTGGTCCACACATTCTTCTTTTGAGGGGGTGCACCTTGCTGACTCTTTTTCACGAATTGGTACAACTGTCCGGCTCGAATGACCCTTTCCACATACTTTTTCAGCACATAACACTAATCAGTTTCATGGTGTCGTATTTATATTACCTGCAATATTTTTTCGAGTGGCTTGATTGGTGATTACATCGCAAGAATCAGGCAACGTTACAAGACCTTGTTTTTTGGCATAATCCAATACAATACTCAATGTGTTTGCTAATGGAGAGAATTCCGACTGGCCAGATAACTGACCATCCTAGGCTCCTGCTTTGTTCCGCTCCCATCTTTTCTTCTTTCTCTTCACACCACTTCCCTTGTCCAGATCGTGGGCCTCTTTGTCATCGTTCTTTTTTTTCTTCTTTCCGTCACCGTCCTGAGGCTTTCATTCCTCTTCCTCTCGCTTTTTTCTCTCTGCTTCCTCTACTTCGGCTTGTCAGTCAGCCAGTCGTAGGGCCTCTTAATGCAAGATTGGGGGCTGTCGAACAAATTCTTTGTCTAATTCGCCTAATCTCATTGCGCGCATTGGTGAAGATTTCCACAACTGCTTTGTCTTCTAGACCATCAACCTTAACCGAGTCGTCCCTCCAATGAGTCAAGAAGGTAGTCAACGTTTTCTGCATCTACTTGATTGCTACCAGCTCAGTTGTGGTTGTGCGATCCAACCATCGTGTTTGTCGTCGATTGAACTCTCAATAAAAGCAACAAATGATGGAGTATAATTCCCACTACAAGCGTTAAATAAGGAACAAGTATGTTGGCAGCATAAGGTAATATTATTATTCCAAAGTAAATCACTTTTAGGGTAAATACAAGAAGTATTTATGTAAATCACGATATATTAGCACTAGGATACATAACCAAAACATTCAATTCTAATCATGATAGAACTCTTCTAACGTATTCTAACATATCGTCATCAATGCGTCCTTTATGTCCACGTCTCTGCGAGGAAGCGGTCCAGCTCAGCTGGTCGCCGACTCACTCTCCCTTATGGGAGGTCCCGGGTTCAATTCTCAATGGAGTGATATTGATCCCAGTTTACCCCAGGCCCCCCCAAACCCCCTCCCCCTGAAACCCCCTCCCCCTGACGCCCCCTGGGGTAAACAAAATGTCCACGTGTCTGCAACTTTCTTCCATATTGCTGCCAGATTACCATACACTCATAGATGGCTTACCACGTAAGCCCTAGGGTGAGTCTGACCTCGCTGGAATCCCAACCAAGACCGAGTCTTGTTGTTCAGGTCGGCTTGAGCTCATGTGAGTCTCACGGATTGTGTTCTCCCTGTTCAGGCCCAATGATCCCTTGTTTATCAATCCCGGTTGCTTGGGCAACTTTTAGATTGGACCGTAATTAAACAATTGGGCTATGGTTAGAACCCATAGTACCATCAGACATAATCATATAAATAAAATGGCATTTTAGAATAAAAATGTGAAATATGATAAGAGAACGAAAAACGGGGAAATAATATTCAGATCGAAATAATTTCAAACGACAATCTCTAGAGCATTCAAACAACAATTGGGATATGATGATGATGAGGAGGGGGGGTGGGGGGGGGGGGGGGGGAGGAGGGGGGTGAGGAGGAGGAGGAGAAACACCTTACCTAGAGACATGTCGACTGGAGCAAAGTAGAGTGGAAGGGCAGAAGCGGAGATTACCTACAACTGCTGTAGACATGTGAGAGAGCGTTGAGGTCATCAACGCGGAAGAGAAGGACGCAGAAGAGAAGACCGATGATTTTAGGGATTTAATATAGGTAGATTCGATGGTACGTTTAGTAATATACCTTTGCCCACATGAACCAATTAGAATGATGCAGTTGAATTATTTAATTCTAAATTAAAAATGATACAATGAATTGGATCAATCAAGTGAATGGTATGTACGGTACCCCATTTTTTAAATGGGTACCCGAGTTGTCACCTTTAATATATTAGGGGTAACAATAGAGAATCATATTTAGGGAATACTATAAAACATTAACTCCTATTTGGGAATTTTGAGCATGTTTCAATCCTATTTAGGCCAATTTTTTTTAATAAGCATTATATTCGTATGTATTTTTGCATTTATTTAAAAATATATTTCATATAAATCTTGTTAAAACTTATATACTCCCTCCGTATTTAAAAGTTTGATACACTTTCTTTTTTAGAATGTATTTAAAAGTTTGCTACACTTTCCTTTTTGGTAAACTTTTCCTCTAAAAATACTCAATTACCCTTACATTGTGTCAAAACCTAATGTAGTGATATTTTATATACGGAGGGAGTATTTTTGAATAATTATTTAATTTCTATGTTGACCGGATTTTCCGACGTTGACCGAGTTGACACCCAGGTTCGAATTGACCCACTTGGTCCGGATTGACCCGTGACCCGATCATTCGGCTGGGTCACGTACTTCCGGGTCCGTTTTTTGCCACATAGGCTAGTTGCACTCTCAGTTAATTTTGCCGTGCTCTTTTCACCCCACTATATTTCTTTTGGACCATATCAAAATTTCAAAATCAAAATTTTCCTAAATTTGGATAACTGAGAAAACTATAAAAAACAAATAAAAACTCCTAAACTGAGCAAAAAGGGCACATAACTACGTCACACTCGTGACTGCAAAAAAAACTACTTTGAGGCAATCATTTCTAAATTGAGCAAGTCACCGACACAACACATTGACTAAATTAAAGTTGCTGAATAAAGCTGAGATTAGTGCCCTTAAGTTAGGGACCAAATATACAACGAGCTGTGTGTATATATATTGGGGCAGCCATGAACCAAATCAAAACAACAAACATAACAATATACGGAGTAAAATATATAGTGAATTGAAAATGGAAGGAGAGAGCATGAGAAAAGTGTGAGAATAATGGAATGGCTTACCCAATTGGGAGCCGTAGATGTCAAATATATAATGAATAGAGTTCTGAGTACATTAGGAAACATAAGAAATATGGAAACCTAATTAATGAATATTAATTACTCTATTACACCCCCTCAAGCTGTGCAGGGGACACAATGCGCAGATTGTTTCTGAGAAAAATGAAGCGTTGCGGAGATAAACTTTTGGTAAAAATGTCTGCAAGCTGGAACTGTGTGGGAACATAGCGAACAACCAGGTCTCCATGTGAAACTCTCTCACGAACAAAGTGATAATCAATGCTGATGTGTTTGCCCCGAGCATGCTGAATAGGATTTGTGGATAAATAAGAGGCTGAAATATTATCACACAATAACCGAACAGGCTGGCAAATAGGTATGCCTAATTCAAACAATATAGACCGGATGTGGAGAATGTCTTGAACTGTGTAAGTAATAGCCCTGTATTCTGCTTCTGTGGAAGAACGAGAGACTGTTGGTTGCTTCTTGGATTTCCATGAAATTAAATTAGGGCCTAGAAAAATAGCAAAGCCTGAAGTGGATCTACTACTGTCAGGACAACCAGCCCAGTCCGCATCTGAATACGCTTGTAAAATAGGAGAAGAAGTGCTCGGCTGCAGGAGCAAACCATGGTTCGGAGTTCCCTGAAGATACTTGAAAATACGCTTAACAGCCAAAATATGTGAAGTACGAGGTGCCTGCATAAACTGAGAAACCAGGTGAACAGCAAATGTAATATCTGGTCTAGTCATGGTCAAATACTGCAAAGCACCTACCATACTTCGATACTCCGTAGGATCTACGAGAAGATCACCATCAGTGAGAGATAACTTAGTTCGAGTAGGTAGCGGAGTACGAACAGGTTTAAGGGTGTGAAGATGAAACCGGGTTAATAGATCAGATCTGTTAACAAACCTGAGGAGGTTCGAACAGCTTGGACACCTAGGAAAAAATGTAAATCCCCCAAATCCTTCATGGCAAAACAACGACCAAGACAAGAGATAAATGTGGAAATAAAGGAAGGGGAATTACCAGTTATAATAATGTCATCCACATACAAGAGGAGATAGAGAATATGAGACCCATGGCGATAAATGAATAAAGAATTATCTGACTTGCTACAAACAAAACCATGGGTTAACAAAAAACTGCTAAACCTGTAAAACCAGGCTCTTGGAGCCTGCTTAAGTCCATAGATTGCCTTCCGGAGCCTACAAATATGATTAGGAAATTGTGGATGTACAAACCCAGGAGGCTGGCGCATATAAACCTCTTCAGTTAGATTGCCATGAAGAAATGCATTTTTGACATCTAACTGATGAATATTCCATCGGCAAGAGATAGCAAGAGATAAAACAATACGAACAGTGGTGGGTTTGACAACAGGACTAAAGGTTTCAGAAAAATCCACACCAGCTTGTTGAGTAAATCCCTGTGCAACCAAGCGTGCTTTATAACGCTCAACAGACCCATCAGACTTAAATTTTGTTTTATAAATCCATTTAGACCCGATCACATTTTTACTAGCATTAAATGGAACTAGATCCCAAGTATGATTGTCAATTAAAGCATTAAACTCTTCTGCCATAGCCGCCCTCCATTTAGCATCTTTATTTGCCATAGAAAAACAAGAAGGATCACATGCCGAAACATCTGTTTTGAGATTAAAAATATGTTTGGGTTTAAAAATTCCCGATTTAGCACGAGTTTGCATAGGATGACAATTTGGCAGAGAAGGTGCAGGAGAAGAACGGAGAGTTAATTGCGGCTAAATTCTCAGCAATATTTTGAATCCCACGAATGTAGTCCTCCATGGTCTGATTGTCCTTCTTCCGAGTGCGTGTAAGCATTTGTTTTAATTCCATGGAGCGTGCAAGACTGGCTGCCATAAATCGGGACTCCAAACGTTGCCAGATGGCCAAGGAATTTTTCAAGGAATGTACCTCCATCAAGATATCACGAGAGAGAGTTGCAAAGATCCATGCACGTACCGCTTGATCTAACTTGAGCCAATGATAATACTCAGGATTCGGGGACTGAGCCTGATATAAATCATACGTATACATTGGCGGGGCAGATAGAGATCCATCCAGGAAGCCTAAAAGACCATTAGCTACCACGAAGGATTCAAACTGAGTGCGCCATGGCAAATAATCTTCAACAGCCACCAATTTAGAAGTAACAATTTGTGTAAACGAGGCCCCAAACGTCATGCCTTGAGCGAGCGAGGCAAAAGACGAGGGCATAGGAGTGGACTGTTGCCCAAGAATTCCGGCCGAAGGCAGGTGCAACCCCGGACTGCCCGCCAGGGTGGGTCCTGCGAACCGAGGGCCGCCAAAGCTGCTGGAGACGTCCGTTTGCTGCGAGCGTTGTGGCTGGATTATCGGATTGAAGGTTGGCGCTGACGGAGTCCAGGTGAAAACGGGGGGGACCCACGGCGCTGCCGGAACCGTAGAGGGAAAGACCGAGTAGGGCTGCGAGCGAAGCGGTTCACCTGTGGAGGAGAGAGCCGCCGTCTGCGAATGGCCAGAGAAATTCGATGTGTCTGTCGCGCTCAACACAGGTGCAGTTATGGCCGGCGGCGAATCAATGGCAGCGGTGACAGCCTGGGATGCGGCGGCTGCGGTGGAGCTTTCAGATGCCATGGAACCGAAAAAAAAAATTTAATTTTGGCTAAAACCTAGAGCTCTTGATACCATGTGAGAATAATGGAATGGCTTACCCAATTGGGAGCCCTAGATGTCAAATATATAATGAATAGAGTTCTGAGTACATTAGGAAACATAAGAAATATGGAAACCTAATTAATAAATATTAATTACTCTATTAAAAAGAACACAAGAAGGCCTCCCAAAAACCGCCGGCAGGTAAATTACTCGTATTTACCTATCGCAATGCTTTAATTAGCTAACTACCTCTAAGTCTCTCACACGCATCGGATCGATCTAAGTAATGGTAGTATTTTATTTTTGGCTTATTATTACACAAAACAAATCCAACGTTTGGAGTTATTGACCAAATTAATACGGAAATAATTACTTATTTATGTTAAAATAAAGATTTTTACAAAAATGTGATTAAAATAGTAATGAAATCATAGTAATTTATATTCAAGTTTTAAACTTATGTTACCATAATAATACATTATAGTAACTATTAGTCATATTGTGTAAATGATTTTTTATTTTAGTACGTAGTAATATTTAGGAAAAAACCCATTAGTTTATCGTATATATATTTATCTAAAAGAAGCCACCGTTGAAATACTCAATACAAAATTATGATCCGTCTTATTTTATTTATAAGTATTTAAAAACGTTTATCGTTTACCACTGTTGGCACTACCACCAGTTTTGAACATCCAAAATGCCATCTTGCTACAAAAAACATTTTATTGACAACATAAACAAAATTGTTTTTCCTTCTTTTATACAAAATATGAGCCAAATATTAGCAATTTGTTTCATTCTATTTAACAATTCGTCAGAGAAAATAATATTTTTCCACCATAATCTCATATGCAAATCTGCCATATAGTTGACACTCGGCAGTACTTTCAAATGAATGTGAAAGTATAACTTTTCTTGCATAAAACATACTCGTGTTACACGAAACTAATAGGAATTTGGCAAAAAATGGACCTAGAATCCAAAATCTGGAAAACTAGAGTTTTTAATAAAACCGAAAATTTAATGAAATAAAAAACCAGAACTATGAAATCGACGCCCAGAAGTTAGAAAAATTGATTGAGAACTCATAAAATTGAATGAAATAAAAAGGGATAATTTGACTTTGCACCCCGTTTTTTGGGTGGTATTGGACTTTGCACCCCACTTTCAAAACTTTTAGACTTTGCTCCTTATCATACAACATTTTGTGAAGAAAAATTCCCGAATGGGGTGCAAAGGCAAATAAATTTTAGGGGAAATAGTGTGCAAAGTCTAAAAATTTTAAAAATGAGGTGCAAAGTCCAATATCACCCAAAAAACGGGGTGCAAAGTCAAAATATTCCAAATAAAAAAGTTCTCCTAAAAACAACAAAATAAGAGAATACTTTGATTTTTAAACAAAAAACAGAGAATGAAAAGGAAGAAGAAGAAAAGAAGAAGAAAAGAAGCGAAGTAGAAAACCTGGAAAAATTATGGAATTCAAGAAATAATGAAAGAGGGAGACGACGATGGTGAGAGTATAGATGGTGAATTGAGATGCCGAGATAGCAGGCACAAAATCGATGGTTGTGACAAATAGCAGCGCCGACAGTGACAAATAGCAACGGTGGCATGCTGGTATACAAACTTTAGGGTTTGTATCTATTATTATATAGAGATAATTACCCTAGGTATAACTAAAACTTTTTCACTTTCTCAATCTATGACTTAACTAGTTTTTTTTACCAAAATATTATTAATATTTAATTAATTTCGTAATAATTAATTAAATAAATAATATAGGTGGACAAATATACCCCTTGAGGTATATCTATAAAACCCTACTCTTCTACTCTTTTCTACAACCCTAGTCTCCATTCTCTCACCTCCGTAGATCCATCCCCCTGCCTCCATCCGCCATCCTCCATAGCCAACACACGACCCGTGCCGCTGCCGCCCCATGGCCCGCCGTCAGCCGTCGTCCAGTAGCACGATCGTCGGCCAAATGCATCCAGCTGCTGCCGCTTGCAATGATCGTCGTCCAGGCCATGGTCAGTCGTCCTCTAGTTCAATGATTTGATCCGTGACGCAAGTACTTGGTTCAACAAGTGCCGCAACAACTTATCTGTGTGGTTGTTCAAGGAAGAGAGGTTGCCTCTTCATCTTCAAAAAGGGAAAAAGAATCTTTTATAAAGATAATGTTGCTTTGGATGGAAATACGTGGGAGAGTGGTGGACTGGTGGGTGAAAAGGATGGTTGATAGAAAATGGGTTGTTGACCAGCCGTCCTCCTCCATTCATATTCTTTTTTTTCTAATTTTGAAATTAGGGTTAAAAGAAATTAGAGTTTGTGGGCATTAAATATGGGCAGTGAATATGGACAGTGAGTATGACATTGAAAATTGAAATAATGGCAATGAATATGACAATATATATGGTGTACATGCCATTGAACAAATGCATTAAGAAAGTTTGTTGTGCACTGAATATGCCCAATGGGGAAGCAATGCCGCCATGAAAAGCAATATACTCAATTAGACGTAAAGTAATAAAATTATTAAATCTAAAAAATAATAATTTCTTAAAGTGAATGGGAAGAGAATTAATTTTGACAGAAGTGCAGTGATTATTATCGGATGTGCAGTAATGACGTGCACTAATGTCGTGCAGTAACAGCAATATAAAGTGAAGTAATTTTAATTGAACGAAATTAGTGTAAAATCCACATATTTTAAATAAGAGACAATTCCCTAAATAGGAGTAAAAATATTTTGAAATTCCAAAATATGACTATCATATTTTTTATTCTCAGAATAGGAGTAAATTTTTGCCAAGTTTGGCATTACTAGGCTTTAAACATGGTATTTTTTCCAAACTTGGCAGAATTACTCCTATTTAGGGAATAAAAACATGAAAATCCTATTTAGGAATTTCAAAACGTTTTTACTCCTATTTAGGGCAATTTCTATTTAAATAAGGGTATTTTTGTCATTCAACCATTAAATATAAACATGATTTCTTTTCTTTTTTTTTTGGATTTTCGGTCATAAAAAAGTCCAAAAACTAGTTTCGTCATAGATTGGGAAACTCGTTGAGTTTTAGTCATATCCTAGGTAATTTCCCTATTATATACGTATAAGGGTATATGGTTATTCGGAATCCTATTTAGGATATGTTTGGGAGTTTGGAGGGAAGGGGAGGACAAGGTTTTGGAGGTATGTTGTTGAAGGGGAAACAGAGAAAGGTGAGAAAACTCTTCAATTCTTTGTATTTAGAAGTAATATATTTGAAAAGAATAGAGTTTTTGAATGAATTATAATCAAAAATCACTTTGAAATATGACGAATTCAAACAATTGAACTGATATATATTCTTAATTGAGTTGAAATTACCATTTCATTGATTATCTTTCAAAACCCTCCAAATTGAGGAAACTCAAAAATTGAGCATTTAGGGTTTCGGAGGGTCATCAAATCCCTCCAAAACCATCCCCTTCAACCTTCCCCACACCTCCAAAACCCGTCTCCCAAACACACCCTTAGAGAATTCTAAATGCTTAGTGCATTCAGAGAATTATATTTAGTTTTACTCCTATATAGAGCAATTATTACTACCTCCGTCCCGAAATAATCGTCCTGGTTTGACCTTCACACATATTAAGAAAGTGAAGTTGACTTCACACTGTAGCGACACTGTTTGGCACTGTAGCGACACTGTTTGGCACTGTAGCGACACTGTTTGGCACTGTTTGACACTGTTTTGTATAGATTTGTTTACCAAATAAGGAAAGGAGACAATTATTTCGGGACAGAGGGAGTAATATTTAGAGCTCGTTTGGTAATATCCAAATCGAGTGTATTAGTTGATTCTGCCTAAATTTATGAAGTTCTAGCTGAAGTGGCTGGATTGACTGCTTCCGCTGATTTACGAAAAAAGTATTTTTAAAATATATCTTATTAATTAAAAAGGAAAAAATTATATGAAAAAACAACTAAAATGATCCTCTACAGTAACTTCAGTCAATACATTCAGAAAAGTAACTACAATCTTACTTTTTCTTATTATTATACAATTCAGCGCGCGAAAACGTTGGATGATAAACCGAAAAACAGGATCACGAGACGAGGTCTTAATTGTTTTATTATTAGCTTGTTCTTCTTTTCTAGCTAACATGTGGACTTGAATGAAACCTAAAATAAGGTTATCCAAGTGGAAGCATCCCCACCAGAGGATTGAGAACATGGATTATAAATTGGTGGGAGAAAGCAATGCAAAAGGTGATTCTAATGACCTCAGTTGGTAAGTCTGCTAATTAATTAATGAATTAAGGTTAGGCATGCAGCATGATACTATATATCTGATCTACGTTACTCCTTTCTGCAGTTGCGAAAAATTTGAGCATTATTGTTGCTGGTTCCCAATTGGAAAACCCCATTGATCCATACTAGCAGTCATTGTCTGTTTCTACACGGTGGATGCATGGCCTGGATGGCTAATTTTATAACTAAATTTCTTATTAATTAAAGCGCGCATACGTAGTATATATGTTATATCCTCGATCATGTATCAATTATTTTTATAGCTTTGCGTGTGTCATGTGATCTCATCTGTACGTGCTTTAAATACAATGGATTCCCTGTTTGCGTGAACCATTTTGCCCAGTTTTCATCGATCTCAGGCAGCAGCAGAAACGCATGAAAATGTCTACAAGGAATTTTTGTTTTCCCTATCGAGATCATTTACTCCATCGGAGCCCGGTCCTGCTCATTTCTGGGCTTATGGGCGATACCCTATTTTGAGTCTATATCTATGACAAACAGTAAATCATATTTAGGCAATGAAGTTCATAAAATAAAGACGAGAATCACTTTATTATCATACAAGTTACATATTTGGGCAAAAGTAACAACATGGGTATCGAATAAAAAGAAAAAACATTACTTAAAAACGTTTCTTGTAGACCAATGTGAAGCAAATCATTAATAATTGCTTCATAGTCAACCTTCTTTCCACTAATAAATATGACAAACAATAAAATTGCCACATATAACAACACTAAACTTTCTTTTGAAAGGATAAATGAAAAGAAATATTACCACATATTGAATTCATAAGTTGAAAATGATTTATTGTCCGCTGATGAGAGTCTAAAGTTTGAAGTCTCGAAACAATGAAGGTTTTCAAAGAGATAAAATGTTTGGCTGCGAAGAGGACTCGCACAAGAAGATTACAAATTTGACGTCCTCTAAAACTACTATTAGGAACTCAGATATAGTTTATTGAAATTTGGAAACAAATGAATATTTGGGGTGAAATTTGAGACAAACGGGCTCTAAAATAATTATATAAATTTGTTATGTTATAATTAAATTGAATAAAAACCTTAAAAGCTAAAAAGATGTGAAGACTGGAGAGACGTGTCTTTTATTTATGCAGCAACAATTGTATTGCTTTAAAAAACTACAACCGACCCTGCTAAAAATTAATGTATATATTCTGTTTTAAACTTGTCATTGTTTAAGATTCTTTATTTATGTTTAAAATTTTCAAATTGTCAACAAAAGGAATCATTAGGCTTAATTAATTGAACTTAAGAATATACAAAGAAGCCTACTCACACTATATATAAAAAAAATATTAAGCCTATTTTTTCATCTACTTTTTTCGGACCTAGGGCGGTCGCCCCTCTTGCCCCCTCAGAACCCGGCCCTGACTCCATCCGACAGCAATTTATAATTTTGCGGTGTCTGATCTTGATCACGTGATATGAGACACTGTATAAACTTTAAAAGTACTGTATATTACAATTTAAGAGTGATGCGAAGGTTAAATGAAAGAGTAGAGTGAATTGTGGTGAGAAACTGTGACAGTTATTCACATGACACCACCGTAAAAGTATTTCGACGTTGTTGCAAAGTCTATCGCATCACACTCAAACAGTTGGATATTTGTTTTTTAAACTTTAAGTTATCATGTCGTTACATTGTAGCAACTATTAGTCATGCTCATTCTATGAAAAAAGAAGAGATTCGATTGTTAATAAAGATTCTCTTAATTTTTTTTAAAATACATTTTAAATTTCTCAGTTAGGGGTGTAACGGGTCGAATTTATACTGGGTGAAGGCTCATCCACGTGCACCCGTTAATTTTTCATATTCCACCCACCCCGTCCATCATCCATTAAAAATTACAGCCACATCCAGTCATCCGTCATGAACGAGTTATCGGGTGGATCAGTGAGTAACGGTAAAAGGTCAAACTTGAAAGACAAAATAAATCAATTATAAAGAGAAATCAAGACAATTAGGGCTCCAATAGTATTTGAGTCATACTTTTCTTTTTGAGTCATATTTATATATGCTACTCCATACAACAAATACATATCTATTGATATATTAATATTAAATATTAATTATTATATATATACAATGGTATATATTAAATAGATATGGAAAAAGGTGCAAATAAGCCCTCGAATTTACCGAAAAAGTGCAATTTTTATAGGAAGTTCTGTCCAGCCGTCGCTATTTGGAGAGGTTCACAATGGAATTTTTTGATGAAATTTTTTGAGCATCTTATTCATCGAGCTTAGTTTACCCATATAAAATTTCAGCTAAAAATTCATTCAGGAAGGCAGTCAAATAATTTTCTGAAATATATTGCGCTGTTTAATTGCGCAGTTATCTTCAAACATTTATTTTACTGTCTTCCCGATTTCATTTTTAGCTGAAATTTGCTATGGGTAAACTAGACTTAATGAAGAAGATGCTAAAAAAACTCATCAAAAAATTCCACCGGTAACCTCCCCAAATGGACATGGCCGGACAGAGCCTCCTATAAAAGGGGTAATTTGCACTTTTTCGGTTAGTTCGAGGGCTTATTTGCCCCTTTTCCCAAAAGATACTATATATAAATATATATTTATATGTGGGTCAACGGGTGGGTGGGTGGAGCGGGTGATGGGTCGGGTGATGAGTTGGATGAATATTCATCCACACCCGATCCAACTCGTCTATCAATCCACTGTCATCCATTTTTCATCCACACCTGATCCGCCAGGAAATTTCATACATACTTTTTCGGGTTTTCGTCCATATATTCAGTTCGGGATGACCTGGTATCCACGGGTGCGGGTGATATTGTCAGCCCTACTCTTAGTTATTAAATGGAGTCTTACTCTTAAAATTGAATTAACACCGTAAAGATTGTACTCTTGTAATTTTGATACGGTTAAGATTGTAACTTTAAACATGGTAAAAATGTTTGATAATTCCAAAATAGGA